GCAAAGATGTAGAATTGACCTAAGTGCCTATCAATTCATGAGTGGATAAAGAAAACATGGTATGTATGATAAAGAACATGTGATGTACATGCACACACAAACATGCTTACATACCATGCAGTACTACCCTGTTGCCCTGAAAATAAGACACTGTCTTATATTTATTTTTTCTCAAGAAGACAAACTAGGGCTTATTTTCATTTTTGTTTCCATTTTTTTCTTGGCTGGGGGCTGGGTTTGAACCCACTACCTCCCGCATATGGGGCTGGCGCCCTACTCCTTTGAGCCACAGGTGCCGCCTGGGATGTCTTATTTTTATTAAGTATAATACAACAATCTACATTTATTCAAATACAGTTAAGTCATCTTCTTCTGGAACCTGACGGGGGAGCCAACCTTGTTGGTGGGGCCAGCGCTAGTCATGTGTGAATTCCTTTCCCCTAGCTGTTCACACGTGCGCAATAGGATGCCTGTGACTGCGGTTACCACTTGCACACCCGCGCAAGTGCGAATGGTTCGGAGAAAGGAGCTGTGGCAGATAAAAGGTATTCTAGTCTTTCTTACCGTTCTACACCAAAATGCATGCACTAGGTCTTATTATGGGGGTAGGGCTTATATTTAATAAACGCATAGAAATCCTTCTAGGGCTTATTTTTGGGTTTTTTTTTTTTCCATAAGAAAACAAAATATTTTTATTGAAGATAAAGGTATAGTTTACAGAAATGCAGAACACTTAAGCAAAAACTCCTTCATTTTTAAGAAAAAGGTATAATTTTTCATTTTCTATTCTTGGCATAAATTTTAATTCTTTCCAGTGGAACCAAAACCTCCTGAACCCCTTTCAGTGTCATCCAAAACTTGAACTTCTATTTCTGGATAAAAAAATCCATTCACAAATGAGATGTGCAATCCGATCATCTTTCTTGACTTCAAACTTTTCTTTGCCAAAATTAAATAGTACACCACCACCATTTCCTCTATAATCCTCATCTATGACACCAGCTCCTACATCTATAAAGTGTTTTGCAGCCAAGCAGAACATGGAACTACTCTTCCATAACACCCAGGAGGAAGAGCTATCTGAATGTCTGTCTTCACAATAGCTTTCTCCATAGGTAGTATTGTATAATCATAGGCACTGTATAGGTTGTAGCCTGCAGCTGATCCCCCTCACCCCGGGACAAGGCCATGGCGTGCTCCAAGAGCTGGGCAAAGTGGAGCTGGAGGCTGCCCTTCTCCTCCGTTCGGGCCGCTTGCTGGAGGACATGACAAGTGCCTCTTCCAAGCAGGGCATGGCAGAGCAAGGTGAGCAGATGGAAAGGGGAAAGAGAGAGCACAGAAGAAGAGCCATTGCAGCGACCACGGCAAGCAGATTCAAATTTCAGGGCTTATTTTTTGGGTAGGTCTTATTTTCCGGGAAACAGGGTACTCATAAAATGAATGAAACAATGTCTTTTCCAGGTTCCACGTTGGCTGGAACTGAAGCCATTATGCTAAGTGAAGTATCTCAGGAATGGAAAACTAAGCACTGTATATTTTCACTAAAAAGTGGGAGCTAATGGGCATAAAGAAATATAAAGGACAGTGGAAACCAAGAAGGGAGGTGGGAAATTAAAAAATGAACCTATCGGGTACAATGAGCACTATTCTGGTGATAGGCACACCAAAAGCCCTGAATTAAGCATTATACAGAGACTCTATGTAGCAAAAACATTTATACCCCCTTAATATTTTGAAATAAAACAGAAGAGAAGAAAATAGTGATCTACATAAGAAGGAATATTTGCACACATAATTTTAATAACTGATTAAAAATCAATAAAGTTTATAATGTCTCTTCTAGCATCTGGCAAAGAGGGTAGATCTAGACCAGTGGTTCTCAACCTTCCTAATGCCGTGGGCCTTTAATACAGTTCCTATGGGTCACGACCCACAGGTTGAGAACCGTTGATCTAGATAGAGGCAGACAAGAAAGGGAGTTGTTAGGAAAGGAGAGAGGTTATAGATGATGGAGACAAAGGAAACAGCCTAAGATTTAAGTCTGAAGATAAAACAACCTACAAGTATGTGTTAGATGCCGTGCACAGTCTCAGATGTCTAGTGGTAGAAGTTATGAGAGGCTGAAAAACAGCCCTCAACGACATGTCAAGATACCACGCAAAAAGTTTTTTCCTATAAAAACGAAATAAACAGTCTACGAATGCTTAAGGCCTCTATGTATACACACCTTTTAAAATACAGTTGATAAATGAATAATGAGATTATGATAATACTCTGTGGTACATATTCAGATGGATAAAGCTATTACCTTATCATTCACATGTCATATATACAATTGCCATCATAAATAAGTTAAGCAATCTGTCCAGTTTCACAAAGATAATTTAGGAAAGAATGATAATTTGCCAAGTTATCCTCCCAAGAGGTTATACCAATTTACCTTTGTGCCAACACTTTATAAGAGGACTTATTTTTCCACACCCTACACAACACTGGGTAATAATCAATTATTTAATCTTGGCCCATTTAGTAGGTGAAATAGCCTCTTTCTTTTTAATTTACATTTCTTTAATTGTCAGTGAAAAAAACCTTTTCACAGGATTGTTGGTCACTTATATTTCTTTTTCCAGGAACTAACTACCTGTTCATCTGTTTCTTTCACTTCAACACAAGAAACAACTAAATTAGCAGTTTTAATGCCTTCAGGAAATAAAAGATATTAGTTTAACTTCAAAACACTAGTAGTATAATAAAAAGTAAGATCCCTCTAATTCTTATATTTAAAAAATATATACAGGATTTAATGGCATTGCCTTAGATTTATTTCAAAGTACCAATAAACATCCTGAAGAACTCTTTGTTAGAATAAAATTCTTGAGGAACTTTAATCTTGAACTCATATTCTGAACACAAATACTGTTCAATGTAATGTAGATAAATTTTTATCTCAGTAAGATGTAAGTAATTAAATCTTCTATCACATTATCAAAGATTTATTATCTTTAATTTATTTTTTAATCCACTGCTTCATCACAATAATTATACAACAATGATTTATGAGCATAACTAATTTTCTGATGTTATATTCTGAAAAGCAATAAAACAAACTCTTCGTTAGCCACAAAATCTCTAATTTTACACAAGCATATTATAGGTAGCTATTTTAATTTTACCACATCATACTCCAATGTGAACATGTGCATTCTTTCTGGTGTTAATTATAATAACTTGATCAATTTCACTGTAAATTCCTTGAGGATATTAACTGTTACAACCTGAGATATGCAATAAACATATTTGATGAATACATGAATAATTATTTGGGAGCAATATATGGGTCATTAGGAAAGTTTTGAGACCCAAAAAATCAAGAAATGTAAAATTTGCACAGATGGAAATAATGAAGCCTTCCCAGCAACCCAATAAGTTGAGCAAGGTGAAACCTGCACAAGAGCATCAGAAAGGATGCTGTCTGTCATTGTGCATCTCAGAAGTGAAGTAAAGGACCACAACACAGTCTGTCTCAAAACTTTCATAGTTTTTTTTAGCCATATATATTGATAAAAAAAAAAAGGAGTAATCTATTCATAGTCCTTCACCAAGCAGCACATGAATTGAGAATTAGAATGTGTCATTGCAGAACAACTGAGACACTCTGACATCCAATTTGTGGCATACATTCAACTCTTTCATGTAGGACAGAGTTTCTCAACCCCAACCCTACCGACATTTTCACCAGATAGTTCTCTGCTGTGGTATGGTACTGTACACTGTCGGACGTTTAGCACCCTCTATGGCTAATGTCCTTACATGTTGTCAAATATCCTCTGGAATATAAAATCATCCTGGTGTGAACTTTCTCTGGTGTGGAGTAGCCGACATTGTAAATTTTAATAATCAAAACAATAGTCAAAATGAGACTCCTTTGGAGAGAATCAAAAACTGGAGAACACCTTTATCGAATCCCAATGTGGCTACTAGGAAAAACCATCTAATGTAGGGTAATTCCATACCTCCATTCCTCTCATCAAAAGTCAATCCACCCTAGTTATTAAGCCTCTTTTTGTACAAGTGATTGGTGGACACATTTGTTAGCGTCTTTAATCTATCTGGCCAGCTTTACAGATTCCAAATCCCTTTTGAAGAGCTACTTCCAGCATCCCACCTTATCTGATTATCTGTATTACTATACAGATAGTATAGAGCAATAGAAAGGAGACTGTTTAAGTATATTACATAGGGACTTTCTGGCTGTCATTTGAGGTACAATTCCAATGGGTGAGATAAGTTCAATACTGAAGAGAAAGGAGGGCATAATCCTTTCTAACCATGGTTCTGACACATGATAAACACAATGCTTATTAATAAATGCTTCCTTATATCGTTCCTGAACAAAATCAGAAGAAAGGCTAAATATTCAAAAGTAGAGTACTTTATGTTTTCTAAATTCAAAAACGTACTAGTAATTGCCTTTCATGCTTGAAAAGTACTAAAAACACATCAAGCTTTCTCAAAATTCTTTTAAAATTTTATGTATCAGAAACAATGAAGAAGAAACTGATTTAATAAGCTGTAATAAAAGATTTCCATGCTTCCAAAGATACTCTGACATCAATGACTCTCCTATCTTTAACATTCAATATCCTCATTTCGAAAATGGTTCTTCTAGTAAATTCTGAGAATGAAATAAATTAAAAAATAAATAAATTTTGAAACAAATAAAGCATTGTTTCAATGTAAACAAATATCACCAATGTGGGGCAAATTAATGAAACATCACTCAAAACTTTGATCTTAAGAATTACCAAAATTCACAATTAGTGACGGTAAGAGCAAAATTAAAATGTTTCCCAAAACATGACTCTGACCTAAAAGAAAAATATACTAATTTACTTGTTGTTACTTGTAAAAAAAAAAAAAAACCCTTGTAATTTCAAATATGATAAAGTACGACTACAAAGCAACAATATTTAAATTGTTCAGATTTTCTAAATACTTACATTGCTTGTAAACTTTCTGCCGTTAAATTATTCCACATAATCTCATTTGCCTGAAGATTTTCATTTTCTTCTAACAAGGAACTATCGAAATCAATTTCTTGTTCCTTAGCTGCTGTTGTTCTAGAAAAGCATACCAAACAACTTTGATCAATATGAATATGCTATCATAATATATTTTAGTATATGCCAAAGGCAGAATATTTGTTCTTACCTAAGATTATGTTAACAAAGTAAAAAAAATAGTATAAATCAAATTAAAACCTACGCACCAAAGATCTAATCATATAATCAAAGACTTAGTTTCCTCATTTGTAAAATGCAGATATTAATCTGATTTATTCCTTTCACAGCTATGAGTATAAAATAAGATGCATGCATTAGGTGCATCATAAAGTTTAGTACAAATACAAAGTCATAGTATTCTTATTATATAAATACTAAAAGTACATAATTTTAAGGATTAAATATGGATTCAAGAAATAATATAATAGTAACTCTCAAATTTTTAAACATCATTATACAAATTAATTATCATTGATAAAAGACTGTAAAATAAAAGCAGACAAATAAATCTGAAATACCCCCATGTCCTAAGAAGCTCCTAAATATTTATTTTAATTTGGTTAACTATTAAATGATGGAAAAAGTAATAGTGTCATAAGTCCTAAAGAGGAATGAAAATGTCATACCTGTGAACATCTATGAAATTGTTGTATTCTGTACTAGGATCTATCTGTTCGACTGACATTTGAATCTCTTTATGGACATTCACGATTTCCTCTGTAACAAGACTAGTTATTTGGCTGTATTCATCGAATATACCTTTTCTGGAAACAAAAATAAAATTTACAGCATTTTAAAGTTTCATCAAGAGAAACACAGGCCCAAAAAGAATTCAGAACAATAAATATAAGAAATGTAATATCAGTATTTATAGATGATGGTTTCATGCACCATCATATTTCATATACCTGGAGAGCAAATGGAGGAATTATATAAATGTACAGATTAGCAATTTATATTTGATGTAATATAATAACTGCAAATGATCTAGAATAAAACATTACCTTTTCAAACATGTATTTGATATATTCAAAATGTAGGGCCAATGTTGATAACCTTCTGTGATTAAATATTCAGACAGAAATTCAGGATTCCATAACATGAAAGTCTGATCAGCTCCTGACTCTTCTAATGTTCCTTTCTACTGCCTGAACCACTGCTTCTTCTCTTGCTCCTCTGGGCCTCTGCCGTTTTATATAGTTAGTCCAACTGTTTCTGTACTTTGAATAATATCTAAATTTCTTCTAATAACCTCCAGTCAGCCACAAAAATGTCATCAAGGTGATTAACCTGGTCTAATAAATGCAAAAAATGCAAAAGGAAAAAAAAATTGTTCTGTCACAAAGAACAGATCCCTACTTAAAAATTCTGTGCTGTAAAAATACGCCAGGGGTTATGAGTGGCCTCAACAGCAAATGTGAACAGAGAGGCTTAGCCTGCACATGCCCAAATAAATATAAAGCATGGCTGTTTTTCCTTTCCTCAATCATTTCTCATAAAAAGGAATCCTTACAAAACATCCATTATTAGAAAGCATTTGCTCAACTACTTTATATTAAATAGCAAAATACTCTTTCGTGTGTAAAACAGTAGAGTTAAACTGCTTCAGGTGATGCTAGTTTCAAATGACTAGAGAAATTATCTGACAGACATGATTTAAAGAAAAGAGAGACAGAGAAATTTAGAATTAATATATATTTAGTCAAAATGCCTGGGGTTATGACCTCATAGTTAAAAGGACGGAATGTTATTAAAGCAAATGAGTCTATATAGATAACTCGTATAAAGCAATACAGTAAAAGGCTGTGATGTGGAGATGACAAATATTCACCTTAAAGACAGAGGGGGGAAAAAGGGAAATCCACTACTATTTTATGAATGAGTACATGTCACATGAGATTCAATTTCAGTGATATCATCATGCTTAGATTTTTAAAATGCTAAATCTAAAATAACGCATTACAAAGTAAAAACAATATGCTGTGGGAAACAATTCTATGCCTCAAAAAGTAAAGATACTATTATTGAAAATTCATGCAGTGGAACGGGAGCAGCTGCATGGGAGTGTGCGTGGCCGGATTAGACCTCGTTCAGCCTACTGGGGCAATCAGTGGACAGGAGACCAGCAGTAGCCAGATCAGTCCTAGTTTAGCACCCTGGAGCAGTCGGGGGGTGGGGGGATGGCAGCGGTAGTGTAGGGTATGCAAGCGATCAGATCAGTCTTATTTCGGCCCCACCAGAGTAGCTGGGGGGAGTGGAGGACTCCTTCATCGTGACCTGTTGGATGTGTGCGGCACTAGCAAGCCGATCTATTCCCTCCCAGCCTGGAAGCCGGAGTGGGGAACTCCTCCACCTCCGTCTGTAGGACACACATGGCTCTAATAAACAGTTCTTGGCCCGCCCAGAGCGCTAGACTCCTCCACCACCTCCTGCAGGG